GGGTGCGTTTTAAAAAAGGGATCCCTTTCAGTTTTCTCCAGATAATTTAAAAACGGAGCAATTTTCGTAATTATTATGAGTTCTTTTTTTTAAAAAACTTGATTTTCCATCGAAAGACTTTACCATTTTTAGGATAATTAAAAAAATCATTTCAAATCGTCTGTAACATTTCTCCTAGGCAGTTTAGGTAAATATAAATGTTCAGAGAAAAGGAAAAGCTTTAAAAAAAAAAGTTTGCGATAAAACAAGGTAATATATGATAAAAAGTAGGCAACTTTGAGTATCGATACCTCGGTGAATTTTCATCATACAAAAAAAAAAAAAAAAAAGGTGTTTTTTCCAAAGGTTATCTCTGAACATTTGTGTAGAAAAAACGTTACAGCGATTTATTTGAAATTTACTACTTCGTTTTTTAATTATGGTTTGATACTAAAAATCATAAAAAGAAAATTAAATGATGTATTTCCATAGAAAATGCAATTTTCTAAAAAAGTACCCATAGAAATCTCTAAAATTACTTCACTTTTGAGCTATTTGAAGATAACCGACAGAGGTGCCTTTTTCAAGATTACTCGAAAACACACCGCTTAAAAAAGGGACACTTCGTGGTTTTATCATTTTTAAAGATCAAACTACCATATTCAGTCATTAAATACCCTTGCCGTAATTGTTCCATACCAAAATCTCTATTCAGTAGCCTATACATGCATCAAAATGAAAAAATCAACTTGTATGATGATCCATTGATAAAACAGGAGTAATTATTCGTGGGAAGGGCATCTGACATCCCCATAGCACATTAACTTTAATGCATTCTTAGTAGAGCATGAATAAAAGAGAATGGTACTATTCTTTCTGCATTTCAAATAGTTTCCGCAAATACTAAAATGATCGTAGTTTCTCACAGAACGATAATTGCATAAATTGTATACCCACACATAGCGAGGACTCGGCGTTAGCCTTTCACTATGCTGCTGCAATTTTACTGCTAACAAGTGTAATAATTTGGAGTTTCAAAGGAGATATTTTAGCCGCGAAGACTGATTGTTGAAAGTGAAACGAGGTTTTTAGGCAAAATAGTCAGCACCTATATGTATATGAACCCTGACATATATTATCCTACATGTTTGAAATGTTCAAGAAAGTAACTCACTATTTACTTTAAACCATGCTTATAGTTCGGCCGCCAGTCATCGTATTGTACATTATTATAACAAGAACTCAAATTTGGCATCATTATTTTTTTTGATTGAAATAGTTAGTTATTGAATTATCTTTTTATTTAATTTTTATATTATTATTACTACGGAATACTATAGGAATTGATAATATCAGCGAACACAAGCTCTAATAATATCTGTGTTCGTTGATAATATAGTTGTAGTACTTAGTTAGAATGTTAGGACAATGATGCAAGCAAGGAAATTGGAGACTTCGTAAGTTCAGGTGAATATATTAGAATTAGATGTAGTAGGCATTAGTGACGTACGCTGACCAGAAGCTGGAGACTTCTGCAGTAGAGACCGGTAGAAAGTAATTCAGGAATAGGAATTGTAATGCGTAGGAAAGTAGGACAGAGTGCA